CCCACCTCTCGGCTGCAGAAGCAGTTTGAGGAGGCTCAGCAGCATACAGAACCTGCAGCAGAAGGCTCTCATCAGATTGGCGAAGACTCTGGACAGCTGGGTTGAGGAGGAGAAGCAGCCAGTCAGTCAGAACTTTGCCCGAATCTTCTGTGAGAGGTTTGTTAAGTATGTGACAGCAGATCTGAGTGCAGCATCAATTCTGAGAGGGGGTGCTGCCCCGGATACTCATCCGCAGCCAAATGCAGCAAAGACAGCTGCGAGGGAGCCGACTACCTGGGCGGGTGTTGCTCAGAGGGGGAAAAACTCTGCCCTCCCTGGGGTTGCCCCTGCCAAGACTGCGGCTTCCTCGGCAGGCAGGGCTAGTGGAGCTAGCCTGCAGCCCAAAAGCGCCAGTCAGCCAGGGGGCCCCACAGGGGGCACAAAACAGCAGGAGGACCCACGAGTCCTCGTCACCCTCCAGCCAGAGAAACGGGTCGCCCGGCTACAGCCATATGCTGTGCGGCAGGCAATCGCTGCAAACATTCAGGGGGTGGGGGATGTGGCCAATGTGCCGAAGGTGGAGCCCACCAGGACAGGTTGGGCGATCACACCAAGCGACAGAGGCATACGCGACGCTCTGACCACTGAGAAGGCAGTGGCTACTCTCTGTGAAGTCCTTGGCGCCACGGAGATCCGGCTACCAGAGCGGTGGTATAATTATGCTGTCCCAGGGGTCCCAGAATTTGTCCAGGACTGGGAAGGGGCAAGAATCCCCACAGACAAGATGATTGAGGGAGAGGTTCTGGCTCAGGCAAAGGTAAAGCCAGTGAGCTGTCGACCCTCGCGTCATGGGGTGAACCCCAAGACAGGGAAGATTACATGGATTGTCTCCTTCCTTGCCCCGGTAAAAGGCTTCTCACTCTTCAATGCCGGTGAGAGGGCCAGGCTGATTGAGAAACGGCCTTTGACAGTGAGACATAACCCAGGATGCCAGGGGTTCTGCCACCCACCAAAGTGTGCGCGACTGGCAAGATGCTCCAACTGCAGTGAGCCCACAAGCCAGCATGAGGGGCCAACAGGCGCGGAGTGCAAGAGAGCGCCAAGATGTGCCAACTGCTGCCAACCCTACCCAGCTGGGCATCAGCACTGCCCTGCCGCACCCAGGCGCGAGAATGGCACCCTCAGGCGCCTAACTCAAAAAGAGCTAGCAGCTGTTCGCCGCCTTGGCGACAGGTGCCACAGGGATGCTCAGGAGCGGCAACCGCCGCCAGCACAGCCAGCACCAATGGTCGCAGTGGTGGTGCCTACACCAACCGCTCAGTCAACCCAGTCAACACAGCCCGCTGGGCTAGCACCCCGCAAGCGGGCGGCTACTCAGAGTTCCATCAGTGAGGAGGGTGCCACCTGGCAGATGGCCCGCACCAGGCGACGCTCAGCTCGCACAGCAGTGCGGCAGCACAGCCAAGCAGCTAAAGAACAGTCTGACTCCAGCATGCAGATGGCAGGTCTGGAGGTCTTCAACCTCATCCCGCAGGTGGACTTCGGCAGCAGCTCACCAAGTGACTCCTCATGCTAGGACACCAACACCAGCGACGCGGCTGGCGCCGCAGGAACAACCAGCAGGAAAATCGCCCCCTGCAGGTCTTCTGGGCAAATACAGCCAGGGCAGCCCCCTGTCACACAGCAGCTCTGCAGCTTGCTTTCGAGCAGGGCTGTGAAGTGATCTGTATACAGGAGCCATACACACACCCTGGCACTAAGACTTCTAACCACCCAGCGTATGAGTGCTTTGCGCCTATAGACCGCTGGGAGGACACTAACCCGGAGCAGCGAGAGGAGGAGAGGCCCCGGGTCATGACATATGTACGCAAGGGCTCAAAGACAAGGGCACAGCAACACCGGTCTGTGCAAAGCAGGGATCTGCTATGGGTCAGTGTAAATGGCTGCCACATTCTCAATGTGTACAGACAGCTGGGACAGACGCAGTCATGGACTATCTGACCACTCAGTGTTAGGCACCAGCTCGCTGTCTGATAGGTGGGGATATCAACG